TCGGGGCAGCGGGCGGGGTGGGGGGTACCGGAGGTGCCCTTGCCCTGGAAGGTGCTGCGGGGCTGGCCGAGGGGGAATGTTTGTGCCCTCCTTCCCCCCCCCCTCGGCTTGCACGAGCTCTTGGATCCCGAAGGTGTTTGGCCCAGTTTTCTGAACAGCCTGGGCTTCACACGCGTTTGGGGCTTCTTGGGCTGACGGTCACCAAAAATAAGTCCAAATCGGGACAGACTTCTAAAAACGAAGGGCAGAGAATTAGCAGACGCTTCACTGCTCTGCATGTAAATAAGCAAAATGCCCTTTCATGTTTTTCTGCATGTGCTGTTCCAAGGTTTTAGGGCGGGAAGAGTCTTTTGTAGGATACATCCAAAATGCTGCAGGAGCAGTTACTACTTGCGCTCTTTTAAATGGTAATGACTAAACCACATGCTGTAGGAGAAATTATTTCCAGGCTGACGTGTAAACCCACTTACAATAGAGAGTGTGGAAAAAGGTGGGGGGGTTTCTGTAAGCTTTACACTGTGTCCTGTGGTTTCTCTGGGCTGGAGCTGCTCGTAAGTTGTTGGAGGTGAGTCAGCATTGATAACGTCTCTTTTTTTAGCGTAGCTATGTTATACCAGTACCTGAAAATACATTAGTAAACAGTTGACCGTGTTGTAGTTGCCTTACGTGGCAGTGTATGAAGCTACAGTGGTGAAAGCCTGAGCTCCGATCTACAGAAGTTGGAGAGTTTTGGGGTGTGGAGCCTGCCTCTTCTGTTGTGTTGGGGTGTTGGTGTTTGCTAAGCGGGTGTTGCTTGATTCCTGTTCAAATCAAAACAGGATACTCACCCTTTCTGTATTGTCTTGGGTTACAGGGATGACACGAACTAGTGATTTCTCAGGGTGAGGAACTCGGTAATTTTTCAGGATTGCGATCAGACATGTTTTTTAGTCTTAGGACTGGTTTAATAACCTGGAAATTTAAGGTGGAGAGAAGACGTTAACGCTGTGCAAAAGTACAACCAAGTAAACACAGAGTAAATCAAACTTATTTATCAAATATATGACCACTTTAATACACCAAAACTTGCAGAAACGCAAAGTAAATCAATTTTTTTATCAAATGTACGACTTTAGTACCCTGAAACGTACACAACTTCTCCATGTTGGTGTTTTTACTTTGCTCTTTCCAGCCAGAAGTTATATTTTTGTTTAGCCTTATGTTACTCCTACCTCATACCAAAAAAGCAGACCGTGTGCCGTGAACTCTGATTCACTTTGTTAAATATAAACTCCTTTTGCATACCGTGATGTCAAGAGCAGTGCAGAACAGATCTCGTACCTCATCTAGTTTGTTTGAATAACCCACCAGAAAAGTTCATTATTTTTTTTCTTTTTTTCTCTTGGAAAAAAGGCTACAAATACTACGCTTTGCCCAGCGGTTAAAGATTTCCAGGCCCTGTTTGGATCAGGCTAACGGCCAGTCCTTGCCACAGCCGGTCTGTCGTTAGCCCCGCTGGCAGGGGTGCACAAGCTGTTTGGTCGGTCTGCGAGCCAGAGCCATCCTGCCGATGCGTTTGTCAGGCTGAACGCTTCAGCGTTATTACTGGCGTGCAGCCTGGCTGTCGCGTAGTACGAAGTCCTGTGCCTGACCAAAATAGTAGGTGGTTTATGGTGTTGGTACTAAACCGTCCGAACTGCCTGTGCTGGGAGAGCGAGGATGTAAACACGGAGTTCGGAGGGGATCTGGGCAGCAGACGACGTGAGCCCTGCTGCTGGGCTGTCCCTAGGGCACCCTCTCTCAGCATCCATGTACCCAGGAAGTTTCATCACGGATCTGAGCCAGCGTCAGCTCGGAATAAATGGGCATTTACGCACCCACGTTTAGTTAGAATTTGTCTTTTGGTGGCGACTGGCTCGTAACAGAGTACTGCGATGTGGTCGAACCTCACGTGAGCGCTGAAGAACAGCTTTTGAAACGGGGACGGTCACGGGATTTTCCTTATTCTTGCATAAGTCAAAAGGCTGAATAGGCGGGGTGGGTAGGAGCTGGGGCTGAAGGGGGCTAATGGGGCAAGCTGCAGGTTCATGTTGTTCAGGGCCTTAGGAGATCCTTAAGCAGAAACATCAGTGGGCAGGAGGAGACTATCTGGATCCTTTTATTTGGTTACCAGATACATTTCTGTCTGGTCCAATTTGGTGGCTTTCCTAAGTGGCATGTTTTTCCCTGGTCCAAGGATTAAGGAACTCAAAAGAATTTAAAATGCTTCCCCAATTACTTTGGAGATAAACACCTTTGAACTGGTAAGAGGGAGCAGTGCACGCGTTTTCCCCTGGCTCCCTTTTGAAGCAATCAGCTTGCCAGTCAAAATAGGCTTATACCAAATTTAGCCACATCGCGTGCGTGGATCTGGGAATGCCGGAAAAGCTCCACCGACGATCCCTTGCGCTTAGTCCCCAAGGGCGTGCAGTGCAAGTGTCACCGGATGGTTTTCAGCTCCCCTTTGTGGCTCTAATTTGTTCTCTTCATGGTGGCAGCAATTGCTCTTCCATAGTTCACTAGGGAGTACTGTAAATCCCAGCTGCCCAGGGTGCTTTAAGTTTTGTTACAGCTACTGCTTTGCTCCCTGCACACTTAACCTAACCTGCTGGGCCATCGTAGCGTATTGGTGATACATGAGAAAATCTTGCTGTGCATTGTCTTGCAGGTTGTCTCTTGGAGTGTTGATAATGTGTATGTGATGCTTTGTGTGTCCTCTGATTTGGAATGAGAAGATATTTACAAAATCTGGATGCTGCTGTTTAATTACACTTGCAGGTGGAAGTATTTCATTTATCTAAGGTTTGTCTTTCTATACCTGTGATTCTTAGGTTGCAAGAAGACCCTCCTGTGGGTGTCAGTGGTGCACCGTCTGAGAATAATATAATGCAATGGAATGCAGTTATATTTGGGTAAGAGTTTTTGATCACTACACAGTTCTGGATCAAAGGGCTGAATAGAACAAAACCTGGGGTTTGTTTTCATAATGATTCTTATCTTTCATGTACATAAAGTCAGGAAACTTAGAGGAATGACCAAGTGTGCCATTGCAGTAAATATCTGTTTTCAGGGGTCATGCAGAATGCAGAGGAAAGAAAAAAGTTAAAATTTCTTTGTCCTTTTTATTGAGCAAAGCTTGCATATGTCTTTCTCATTGGTTAGATTGCAGGAGTTGGGTTATGAAAAAGCAGGCTTTAAAGTACAGCAGAGCAGCATGTCCTCAGCCATTAAATCCAGATGTATTAGTGATTGGATTGATTCCCAGTGGAACACGGTACATGTTCTGTCTAGGAAGTAACGTTACATATCCTACAGAACAGGAACTGGCTTAGTATCCTTTCATAAAACTAAAGTATACTTGCTCGTAATTGGCTCGTTAATTCCAATCTAGTTACGTAATGGCATGTGGGTTGTTTGGGATGACGATGAAGTAGGTATCTTGACTGGCAGACTGACTGTGGGCGCCGTAGATACGACAGAGCACTCGGAGATTGTCTCTGGGTACTTCTCTGGGTAATTAAATATTGCCTGTACCTGTATCTTGGGGAGGATGAGGAAGAAGATAGAAATTTATTGTGCCTGTTTAGAAGTAGGTAATGATCATTCTTTAACTGGAGTTTATTTTTAAAACCTTTCAGGCCAGAAGGGACACCTTTTGAAGATGGTAAGCCACAACTTTAATATTCTTTGTCATTCTCACAACTGTTGCCAGTATTAACATTGTTCTGCTTGGAGAAAATTTTAGATGTTATCTCTATATAATTTGGAACAAACTAAGCAAGTGAAGGAGTAAGGTCTTGCTGGCAGTACAATACGCCAGTATTAACATTGTTCTGCTTGGAGAAAATTTTAGATGTTATCTCTATATAATTTGGAACAAACTAAGCAAGTGAAGGAGTAAGGTCTTGCTGGCAGTAAAATATGTACATTGATGTAAGCAGAGTCTGGTCAGAGTGGTTGGTTAGAAGGCTACAAACAGGGCTGCATCAACACTTGTTTGTACCTACTCGCTGGAGGTTTTAGCGGGGAAGTTGGTCTAATGCTGCCGGTTGTTTGCGCATCACCGTGCTGAGCTCAACAAGGCCGTGTGCTTTTCTGGTTTCATCTCTGTGGCATGGTTGATTCATCTCTCTTCTCCTAATGAAGAACAGGTGAAAAATCTTGAATTGTTCTGAATATAGAACTCGCTGAGGGGGAGGGAATACCCGATTTGTACACAAACAAGAAGGTCGGTGTATAACGAACCTCCCTTAGGCATATGAGGAATAATGAGTTTAATAATTACAGTATTATTGCAGTAATCAGCAGCAGATGGGGTTTTCTCTGTGTTGGGTTGGAGGAGTTACAGTAAATTATTCACTGATCCGTAATAAAGGTTTTCAGTGAATCAGTCGTGAGCTCCAAAGACTGAGATTGGTGCTGATGAAATTCCAGTGTTTCTGTGCTGGCACCACAGTGCTTTAATGAAACGCCTTAAAGTCACCAGAGTCCATGGAACCGGCATGTTGGCCCACAGGAAAAGGGGAGGGCAGTGGGATAATTGGTGATGGATCGAGCTGCCTTTGCCATGTGTACAGTAGGTCTCTGAGCTTTGCTGCTGGATTTATTGCTATCACTGAGTAGTAGTTCCACAGTTCCGTTACTGCTTGACATACGTGAAACCTGACAGTGTTGCATGTTTATGTAAGAATAATATAAGGAAATATTGACCATGGAGCACATAACTTAGGTTGCATATGTTAGTGGAGGTGTTCTTTTGTTGTCAATTATCTAACTGTATTTATGTTTGTTTGGACAGGTACTTTTAAACTAGTCATAGAATTTTCAGAAGAATATCCAAATAAGCCTCCAACTGTTAGGTTTCTATCAAAAATGTTCCATCCAAATGGTGAGTATTTTTATTTAGCCATAATAACTGTTATGGTATGGTTTTACCTAATTATTATTGCATGCAGAAAACACAAACCATGCCTTTTGCCTTTCCAAGCCTCCCTGTAGCAAGGGAGGGTGCAGACTGGATGTGAAGGCTGGAGCATAAGCCCATTCCAGCATTCCCTGTAGCTTGAACACCTTGAACAGAGGTGACTTTGGGTTCAGTTCTGTGACTTTTTAGACATCGCTAACCGTTTGTTTCTGGCGTCCTGCGCGGGGCAGTGTGGCTCTGATGGGGCTTTTGTGATTCCTTGGGTTCTACTGGCATGAACAAGCTAGAGTCCAGGGTGCAGGCGTTGGAGTGGCAAATCTGATTCCCACAGGCTCTTGTTTTAAGACTACTGGTAGGTGTCCAGGCTGAAGTAGGACTTCAGGCACGTTTTTCAGTATGTTTTTTTATTGCCTGCATTGGTGAGTGTGGGGTGTGTAAAAACAGGGCAAGAACTCCCTCTGTGGAGACTGCGAGATGCTTGGCTGGTGCGGTGGATTCCGCTCCTGCCGTGAACGCCTCGCTCTCTAGGAGGCCTCACCTCTGCGTGTGTCTGGGCTGGTCACACAAGAGGAGCAGGAAACCACATCTGCCCGTTCCTGTGCTAATGCCATAACCTTTAGATGTTCCTCCTTTTCCTGTTCAGTGTTGTCGCTTCCAGGAATGTGTCCTTCAAAAGACAAGATGTCAAACTACAGGAAGCTGAGAGACACACCTGCTGTCTGCTCCCTAACGCTTGAATTTAAGCTCGGTCTGAGCAGAACAGTAACTCTGCCTTGAGCAGTGTGTAATGAACAAGCCATAGGATAAATCTGATGGTTTCTGAATGGTATCTGTGTTGTATTTACAGTTTATGCGGATGGTAGCATATGTTTAGATATTCTTCAGAACCGCTGGAGTCCCACCTACGATGTTTCATCTATTTTAACCTCAATTCAGGTAACTTTTATATCTACTTTAGCAAATTATGCTGCTGTTAGGTTCTGTTCCAGAACACACAGTGCAGTGATGTGGCTAGTGGGTACCTGTGGCAAGGGGCTCCAAATACTGGTGAGCTAAGCAGCTGCTTTTTAGATCAAATCAAGGCTAAGGTGCTGACCTGTGTCATGACTGATTTTGAGCCACAAAAATGCCAGTAGATACTTTTTACAGGAAAAGGATTACTGATTTGGATTCCCTTTTTAACTGTGTGTGGTCAGGATAGGACATTGGATGTAGAAATGTGTCTAGGGCTTGAATTGCTAAGCTTTAGCATGAGGCCTTGCCCTGCGAGGTCCTCAAGGAGACAGTATTGCTGCAACCTGCTTTACTTGGAATAAGTAAAAATGGCTTGGCACAGCAAAAATGTACATTTTCTCTTCTCCTGTGTGATTTTATTTTTCTACGGTGAAGTTTTGTAGGAGGCATCTTAAGCCCCTCATTAGTCCTGAACGACAACAGTAGAGTAATTACCAAACAATCAATTAGCCTCATACTGCTAACTGGCACAGATGACCACATATCTGTTAGGTTTGTGAACCTGGAAGTGTACGCAGTGCTGATGCTTAAGCAGTGTATTGTTCAGCAGTGTAATTATGGGTGTCTAACCATGAGTTTAACTGGGTTTTTCTCAATTGGGCTCTTCTGAGTCATGTCTGAGCCTGAAACACATGCGGTCTGAAAGCTCAAAGTTGACTTTTTTCCTCCCCGTTGTAAAATGTGTTGGTTTATCTCACATTTTCATTTCTCCTTTTTACAGTCTCTGCTTGATGAACCTAATCCCAACAGTCCGGCAAACAGTCAGGCGGCACAGCTTTATCAGGAGAACAAACGGGAATATGAGAAAAGAGTTTCAGCTATTGTCGAACAAAGTTGGAATGATTCGTAACAGCTGCTTTGTACTCTCCATCCTCACAGTCATTATGTACAATTTAACTCTCCGTAGAAAGGCTACCAGAATCAAGTGCCACAGTTCTAAGAATTCGCATAAAAACTCACTTTGCAACCAAAATTAAGCCCTCCAGTTTAGGAAACCGAAAAGCTTGTGTATCTCGATTAACGTACTTTTTATTGCATGGTATGAACTAAGTTATTGCTACATAAATTTGTAATATATCCTGTTTGTATTTTTTTTCCAAGTGTATAATGTTGGTGTGGAGTTTTCATGACAGAATATACACATTTTGTAAATCTGTACTTTTCCAAATATTGAATGCCTTATTTTTGAATTCTTTAAATTTTTAAATTGGAGAAAAGCACTTAACAAAGTTTTTATATATAAATATTTCATGTAAAACTGTTAAATACATAACCTTAGTGCAAGACATTGTGCTCTCACTCTGTATCTCTTCCAAAGGGCTCATTTCCAGGCCATTTTTCCTTCTGGTACGTGCCGATGCCACGCACTTTACAAACAGAAACGCTAATCCATGCCGTAACTGTCTTCACTGGATGTCTCTGCTTCTGCACCAGAGCTTAACTTCCTTCTGTGTGTCCTCAGTTGTATGAGGAAGAGAAGTATTGGTAGCTGCCAACTTACGGATGGGGAAACAGATGTAACTGTTGCTGAAAGTCCCACCTCAACCCAGCGGCAGACAGGACCTGGATGCCCAGGTTTGGTGATAATGTATTCTGATAACTTTTATTTTTCAGGGAGATTGTATTTTACCAAGTTGTAAAATGTTGTCATCTAAATGTGTCCTATATTCACATACTGATGCTGTAATATAGTTTTGAATATCTTCTGATAATTAAAGAGGTGTCCCGTTAGTTTCCCTTGTGGATAGGGGAAAAAACCTAATCACCTATGGAAGAAAACATGCCTGCAGATTTAATGGAGTTATTCCCTGGAACTTGGCTGAGTAATGTGGTCAGGTCTCATGTCCGAATCACAATGGTTCCATGAATTCTTCAAGTGCCAGTTTTAGGGGAGTTTGGGTTTGTTTTTGTAAGTGTCGATGTGGTAATTTCTTGCTGCACTCTATAAGACAGGCTGGATGGCTGCAGTAAAGAATTGGGGTTTTTTGGTTTTGGGTGGGTGGTTGGTTTTTTTTTTTCCTCCCAGCAGCAAAATTGTAATCCCTTTCTCATAGTTCCAGCCAGCATTATGTGCGTGTTAAAACCCCCAAACAAAGCTCAGCCTTTCCTGAAACGCACTGAAGTTTACCTCGGCTCCAAGAGAAAATGCTGGTTATTTGCAGTAG